ATTCAAATTTTAATTTTAAACAAATCTAAATTAAAAAAAAAAGTAAAATATGTGATTTGAAACATAATTCAATTTTATCCACCTTACTGGACACCCATTTGATTTTACTTCCATTTAATTAAATATATGACATTTTATCCATCAGAATTGATTAGCTCAAAATAAATAAATAAATAAACAAACAAACAAACTTAAAAGGGTGTTGTATGTGTGTGTATCTATCTATCTATATCTCAGTGCAGCTAGAGTTATAAATAATTGAGCAAAATTCACTAGGTCAGTTATGACATACAGTAGTGCTATCAATGTTATTTGTTAACATTTAAGGTTTTCCAAGAAGTACCAGCAGCTCTCGAAAGAAAAGGTTATCCAAAAATTAGCTTCCAATAGCACTTTTCAGAGTAGCAGCTGTGTTAGTCTGTATCCGTAAAAAGAAAAGGAGCACTTGTGGCACCTTATAGACTAACAAATTTATTAGAGCATAAGCTTTCGTGAGCTACAGCTCAGTTCATGTATGCATCCGATGAAGTGAGCTGTAGCTCACAAAAGCTTATGCTCTAATAAATTTGTTAGTCTCTAAGGTGCCACAAGTACTCCTGTTCTTTTTACAATAGCACTTTGTCTGTCATCTCAACCATCAGGAAGTATTAAGCAGAGAATGCTTTCCTTTCCCAGGCTTGCAGTGAAAACAAGCCAAAATGTTTTCATATTTTGGTATCAAATTGCAGCTATCGTGTCTGATGATCTAGAAACAGTCTCCAATTTTTGCTATCTAAAGCTAAACCATGTGAATACTAGATGGAGTTTTGACGGTCTGGATGCATTAATAATTTAGGACAATTGATCTTGGCATTTCTGTTTCAGGCCATCATTGTATTATTTACGCTACTTTATGGGTTTTTTTCTGTGCGATCTGTATTCTGTAATTTTTTTTGCATGATTCTGTCTCTTGGACCAGAACTGCACCAAAAATGAACACAAATGGAAGGAAATAAAGAGAGCACAAAGTCCTGTTATACACAGAGCAGTAAGTCACTTATGCTATTTTTGTTTTTCCTGAAATCATGGTGATGTACTAATTTACAGCACTCACGAAGCTGTACCTGCAGTTCTTTTCAAAGCCTAAACTCCCATTGCTGCATAATAATACCAAGCAGCACAGGGTCTTAAAGTTATAGCATTTTTATGGTGATGTTATTTTATACATGGCAACACACGTGCAAACAATCAGATCGTTGCCCATGTAAATGGGTATTTGTCCATGTGCAATTGTCCGTTTGTGTGGGCAAGTTCCTTGGCGTAAGCTGCACATTATTTTTTCAGGAACACCTTTAGGTGCAAACATTCTAAAGATTCGCCCTAAAGATTAAAACTACTGAAGGAATAAAACTAATTAAGGCTAAAAATATGCCCTTCACTCACCTTGTGCTGCCCTGCTGATACAGATCGTATGGGACATTAAAGCAGCCCTTCTTTTGGGGCCTACACAGAAGAATAATACCTATGCACAGTGGAAAGAGTTATGGATGAAATTTTAGCCTTAATTCAAATGTTTGGCTCTTGGAGCTTTAAGACAGAATGCTGACATTATATTAACATATTCCCTTTTCTTTTAAAGATCATCAAAAATAAATTCCTAGTGGAAGCGATTGTTAAAAAGGCCGTTTTACCAAACAGGGGCTTTCAAATGTTCTGTTTAATAGAACAAAAGCTTCTTCTTTACTCTGCAGAATCTCTAAGGGTATGGCTACACTGCAGTTAAAAACCTGGGGCTGGCTCATGCCAGCTGACTCAGGCTCATGGGGCTTGGGACAAGGGGCTGTTTAATTGCAGTATAGATGTTGGGGCTTGGGCTGGAGCCAAGACTCTAGGACCCTGTGTGGTGGGAGAGTCCTAAAGCTCAGACTGAAGTCCCAGCTGGAATGTCTACATTCCACAGTTAAACAGCCCCTTAGCCCAAGCCCCACAAGTGAGAGTCCGCGGGCACAGGCCAGCCCCAGGTTTTTAACTGCAGTGTAGACATACCCTTACAGAGTATTGTGTTACCAAGTACTTATGACTGCCTCAGGCCAGAATTAAATTGGCAGCCATAAAATAGATGGAAAAGCTATTACATGATCCCTGTTAAATCTTAATAGTAGCCCAGCAAAAAATTTCTTCCTAATAAAATAATTCAGAAGTTTACAAAATTATATTGCTCCAGAATTATCCAAATAACAGCCCTCCATCTGATGAACACACCACGCCTTCAAATTTTCATTTTAAACCAATATAGGCTAAAACAAGCATCTGAAAACTAACCTTTGTTTAAAAAAAAATTAAAATCTGCATTTGAGATAACACAAGAGCTGCATGTATTTTATATTTTTAATTTCGTAAAATTTCACCTAACTTCTGACATGTTGCTAGTAGTACAGTAGTACTTTGTTGTTCTTGTTTTTCTAAAAAACAACAACAACAATTGAGATGTTACATTCATTTTCTTGCTTTCTTGTCCCATGGTCATACAGTCGCTTTCACATAAACAAGAGTCCTAAGAGCAGGAGTACTTGTGGCACCTTAGAGATTAACAAATTTATTTTGAGCATAAGCTTTCGTGAGCTACAGCTCACTTCATCGGATGCATGCCGTGGAAAATACAGTGCGGAGATTTATATACATATAGAACATGAAACAATGCGTGTTACCATACACACTGTAACGAGAGTGATCATGTAAGGTGAGCTATTACTATCTCTCCTGCTGGTAATAGCTCACCTTACCTGATCACTCTTGTTACAGTGTGTATGGTAATGCCCATTGTTTCATGTTCTCTGTGTATATAAATCTCCCCACTGTATTTTCCACTGAATGCATCCGATGAAGTGAGCTGTAGTTCACGAAAGCTTATGCTCAAATAAATTTGTTAGTCTCTAAGGTGCCACAAGTACTCCTCTTCTTTTTGCGAATACAGGCTAACACAGCTGCTGCTCTGAAACCAGTCCTAAAAGCGTTACCTACAGCCTCCCGTTACTCACTTTGTAGCGCAACCTTTTTAGAGAAACCAGAATTTGCCACAGAACAACCTCATTTAACTCCAGTGTCATTCATTCTTAAGCAAAGCTCAGGGTTACAAACTCAGTATCATCCCATTTTACAACACTTGTGTCATGTGAAAGCAGCACTTGTAGGTGGATCGAAAACATGCAGATAGAATATATATGGCAATCAACATTGTGGAGACATATGCATCACATGCCAGCCTTATGTTAAAAGAAGCCTTTCAAACAAAGGTTTTGGGCTATGTTTGAAAACTGGGGTCTCTCAATATAGAGGGACAGTTGTCCCCATGTTTTACTCAAATTTATTTTTAGAGACAACATTCTAGTGAAATGGGTAGAGATAGAAAGAAAGGGCATTGGACTCCAGAGTTATGGATTACACTAAAAAATGTCTCGATATAAAACTTCTTAAAAGCTTTCTCTGCGTACTTTTAAGGCAGACATTCTTAGGTAAGCACACCTACCATAAAACAGCAATTATTATACTTGTAACACAGCTAGCAGTCATAGTCGAGAAGGGCTGGTTTAATCCAGTTTCAGCTATTTAGAGAGATGTTTTATTGAGTTTACAAATAAGAACCTGCAATACTCCATTTCCATAGCAATACACTAAATCATCCAAGCTAAGCATGTCATCATGACTATAATTTACATGATGTAACATGACAGTTAAGATGTACTGTGGTAATTTGTGAGTGCTTTCAGTATTATTGTAGTATCAAAAATTTATATGGTTCAGTTATTAAGGCAAATTGTTTCATTCATACAGAAATGTCTGACAGTAAACCACAAAGGACCTTCAAATTACACTGAAAAAATGTCTTCCAGGTTCAGACAATTTGCACACACTCTTCCCATTATTTTGTTCACCAAATGGAAAAGAAAGAAGTTTGTCTGTGCAAAGTTTCTACTGGAGCACAGGAAAAGTTCACTGTATGGAAGCTATAAAAAACTTCCCTTACCCCAGCTGAATGGGCTTGGCTATCTATCTTTAAGCATCTTATAGCCATGAACAGGATGCCCACATTCTTTGGAAATGATGCTGTTTAATCTTCACATGCTCACTTACCTTCTGTCATGTTGATTTCCAGCCAACAGGAAAAAACTAGGCGGACAAGCCTGAAGAGACTAGAATGGAAAATGTGCTAAAGCACACCATAGTTTCATATACTTCACCATAATCAGAAAAAAGCTTAAGTTCTGAACATAGTCCCCAATTCCAAAGCCTGACAGAAAATTCATTTTAAGAGCACACCACCTGTGATAACAGAGTCTGTGGATAGTAAGCCTGATACTCCGACCACTAAGGCAGCCAGGGAGATCTTCAAAGATTTTAAAAGTAATGTAATGCAGTAACCTTCAGAGGGCAGATACTAATATGTTTATATATCTTTGTGTTTGTGTGTGAGGGGTGGGGAGCAGGTGAGTGGATCTGAATAAAGATGAGCAGTGAAACTGGCACAAAGTTTAGTACAGCACCTTCTGAGTTCCAGGGGAGAGTTCCCAACACAAGTTTATGCCAAGCATTAAAGCTTTGTAACCTAACTCACATCAGCTGATATACACTTTTCATCTGTGAAAAGCAGGATAGGGAACAGCCTTTCATATCCAAGGACAAGATGGAAAGAGAAGAGGACAACCTGAAACACATATTCATATGCCAGCCAATTCGTTCAAGAAATAACACTGCAAATTATCTGAGCTTCTCTAAGACCTGACAGCAGAGGCCTCAAGAGGTCTCAGAATTGAAGTACTTAGTTTATTCTGCTTTCCCCTGATGCTTTGTGCCCCGTAAGGATTCTCCGCATGCCTAATTCAGTTCTTTTCAGCAAGCAATTTTGCTGGTCAAACATCTTTCCAACTTAATCTTCTCTCCAACAGGAACTAAAAAAAAATTGCTTATATCTTTCCCTAGCAATAAATTAAATTAGCATACAGGCAAGGACCATTTGCACTTACTTTGTTGCCCAAATAAGGACTGGGTGCACTCCAGTAATAAATCAGCGGCAGCGCTCTTCTGGCAGCCACATTACTGATGCTAAGCCGCTGAGGTCCACCAAAACTGTCCTGCTGAGGTGTAACTTGAAGGAGACCAGGTACATCAGTCAGATACCAGCCACTCATGTCTCCTACCTATAATGACAGAATAAAATACCTGTTGGAGGGAGAGTCAAGATATCAAAGTCCCAGCTCCCACCAGCCTCTCTGTTTTGTTTTTTTGTCTTTTCTGCAGCTTCATTTGGCTTAAGATCTTGATTAATCTCAGTGAAGAATCATATTCAGTGACATGAGAATATTCATAGGAAAATTAATCTACTGTATGCATACCAGCTCTTGGATTTTTGTGTCCTGAACAGCCACTTAGGCTGCCAAAAAGTTAGGGGATAGGTAAATATTTGTTCCCAGTGGCTTAACAGAGAATGGGGAGGGAATTCCGGCTCAATCCCAATAATATTTGGATAAAAGCCATTCATGCTCACACCGTAGGTCACACAACACAAATACTCTGTAAGTGATATAAGTCCCAGATGGTACAGAAGCCTGAATTGAGAGTTCAACAAATCTGAACAGATATTATTCAGACATAGACAATGTAGTTTATTGTTCTAAAGACCTATATCTTAGAAGTTCAAAGGTCGCTTCTACTGCACCAGCTAGCAAAGATCAAAAATCTCAGACCCTGAATCTCTGAAATCCTCTATCAGGAAACTAACCAGTACAGAAGAGCTTAATATACATACAAGCACGCTGAAGGCTTTTGGTTGTTTTCCAGATGCCTAGATAGCAGCAGAACTATGAAATGGCTCAGCTGTGAGCTGGAAAAGCTTTCTGGATACTGGTATATAAATGAGTACACCAGGCACACTTTACTCCCAGAGTTCCCATATACCTAACAGCCAAAACAGTAGCTATTTAACCTAAACAGATTTTCCTAAGCTAGATTTATGGACTTATATTATAGCCCCTTTATAGAGAAACTGGTGTCCAGGTTTTGAGACCTTATTGAAAGTATAGGGCATGCTTGTACAAAAAAATTAATATTTTCTACAATGTGCTTTTGCAGGTAAGACCATTGGAAGGGTCATCCCACCTTTAGCTTCAATGCTATATACATATTGGACAGAAGAAATTCACCATAGGTGTAAGACCCTCACTGTTTACAAGCTGCTATGAAGGATATTATTTCTTACATAAATTTTGTATTTGTAAGTGTAAATTCTTAATTAACCCATATGTGTCTATATGGATATTTATTACACACCCAGAGAAGAGGCACCCCTATGGACACCTCAGAATTACCCTCATGTTCATACTTTATCATCTGCATATTCCATGACTGTTTCACACACACAGCTTCACCTCTGACAGACATTTCAGAGTTACTTTCTATATCAGTCACAATGTTGATTTCAGAAATTTTCACAATGAAAACAAAGAAAGATCAGTTCTTGTGTGTGAAAAATCCTTTCCTTTTGGATATCTGAAAAGACTTACATGGTATATAATGTGCCTGCAGATCTCAGGATAACATCTGTTGTACAAGATATGTTTTAAATGACAGCATACCCAATGACATATTTTTGCAATGATGTTTACTATTATTTTTCTTACACTGCTGTAGGTCCAGTGAGAGTCTATACAGACGTCTGTTTTCCCTGAACAAAAACACTCCTCACAGCCTCTTGGATTATTTTGCTGCAGGTTGAAGAAACTTGGTTTGCAATGATCACAGTTTTCTCCTTCAACATTTTCCTGGAAATACACATTAGAATATTACTTCATCTATCACATATTAAAATTAGAGGCTTTTTGCTTGCTTTTGGTTTGATACAACAATGCAAAAGGAAGACATTTATGGGAAACTACCCCTAATTTTTCTATATAAGAGCCAAAATCTCCAAACAATTAAGCCAGTGCAACCCCACTGAAGTTAAAGGGATTGAATGGGTGTAACTGAAGGTAGAATTTGGCCATTTAACTTTATATCTTTTCCATGAACATATTATTTTTTCACAATAATCTAGTAAATCTCCTCTAAAACATGGATGGCCAAAGGGAGGAAAGCATGGGTACAACTTGCCTGTTCTTGGAAATCAGCAATCAGTGTCCAGCAACTACAATAGCTACTTGAAACTAGGGTATGATCATCCAATGCAAAATGCAGCATTTCAGTTCTTCTTGTCTATGCTTGGGGTTTGCACCAGTGCAGCTACTCCTGTAGCTGGCCACTGGTGTCTGAAATGAGAGCAAATTCCAAGTATAGGCAAGGCCTGTATTTCTTCCTCCATGACTGACAGTATTTGCCTACCACTTAGATGATCTATGAACCTACAGAGAACTGGAGCAGAGGACCCAAGTGCCAGACCATTGCAGCATTTTGTAATTTTGTTTTACAGCAAAGGTTTATTTTACTAGTTGATATGCTGAGTTACCAGTATGTAATCAATCTGGCCCATATGCAGAGACAGAGATGCCTCTTTTCCGCATGGGGTGCATTACAAAAAGGTTCACACTGTGGTGGGAGCTGAATAATGCAACAGTATTTTTCAAAGATACCCCAGAGAAGAATTATTCTTATAAGTACTCTCTCCAAAATATTTTGCACATGGTCTCTTTAATCCTGGACACCGCACTGTGAAGTGTGCACAGATGTACCAGAATCGTTGGCTCCAGGCCAGCAGAGGCTGAACAGTTTATGAAAAGTCTGCCCATAACACAAGTAGGTTAGGATCAGCCTGGCTTTGCAGCACAGAAATAAGTACTGAAAGCCACTTGCCTGCCTTCTGGTCAGAGATGCCGGAGAGAGGGAAAGAGTGAGTCAAATAAAGGATAAGGAAGGGGAAGAAAAGTGGAAACACAAAGGGCAAAGAGAAAGAAGACAGGAGAGAAAAAAGAGATAGAAAAATGGGGCACAGCTAAAGAAAAAGAGGCAAAGGGCAGATTCAAAAAAGGATGTTAACACCAATGATGTGGTAATTCCTATACCGGTTTTCATTGTCTCTGGTGCCAACTAGAAACATCAGCTGGAGTCTATACACCAAAAGCTTAAAACAATTGTCAAGGCTGTTGGTCTGAAAATTTAAGCTGTAGTACTGTACTGTACTCTTGTAGCTGGCCTCTGAAAGTGGTTTCTATGCACACAAATGTTTGCAGCTGTAATTTTTGAAAGCACTTTGAAAATCTGGCCCTAAAAGTTCCTTTAATATGATCGATTGAATTACTGATGTGTTACTGTGGGCAGGGTGGGAAGAGGAAAGAAAAGTGAAGACTGAAAAGTAAATGTATTTGTTATAATAAAAGTTTCAGTAACAAAGCTGAGCACAATTGTACTCTACAACTGCAAGTAATCTACACCATTCTTGTGAAAAGACAGTAAGTTAACAGAATCCTAAACCCTGAAGGTGGAAAAAGATATGTAACCCATCCCTCTGCCAGTGCAGAATTGTTTTCTACAGTATAGTATATTTTGAATGTATAACTCATCATCAAAGCTCGTTTTCAAATCAGAATATAAGGAAATGTGCCCCAAGTCTGATCCTCTAGACACAATAGCTTAAAAATTAAAACCCTGATAGGAAGAGATTTTACTTCTGAGAGAGAACATTTGAGTGTTATATATGTGCCAAGTGAGGATAAGATTAATACCCTGAACCGACTTCAGTGCTGTTCAACTGTCACACGGGTGGTTTATGAGTATATTCAATATGAGATGATGGAATGAAACTTTTTTGTACACTCGTGCTCTTGAGAACTTAATAGAAGCATTGTATCTTGTTCACCTGCATTTGTATCAGAGTCTGTAAATTAAACATCCAAATGGAACATACACAACAAAATACTGAAAAATAACCCACAGTATCTACCATGTTGCTCTCTGCTGAGCGTAGTCAGGGTGACTTATTTCTTATGTAAGCTGCATCTTTTGAACAACAGGACCTTCATGTGTATTATTGGTATTCAGGATATTTTTTTAACTAAAAATAGTTGTGTATCACTTTAAAATAGTGTTTTAATTCAAAAGCTATATCAATACTTGGCTTTCTGAATTTACACACACACAGCACTAAGAACTTCAGCCTACAGCACAAACAGCCTCAGCAGTCAGATTTTAACAGCATTATTGACAGAAATACCTTGGAGGTTTCCAAACAAAGTGTCCAAAATGGAAAAGAGAATCTCCTTTGTCCAAAAGTTAGCAGCAGAATGACGATATATACTACATAACAACCGATAAAATAGAGGCCTTAAATGCCATTTCCCCTTAAACCAAGAATATTTGCTCTTTTAAAGACATATGACAGGTTATTTTTAGAGTTGACAGTGCTCAACTGCTTTTAATGTATAGCTCCTGGGCGGATGGGTGTGGGAGTTTGAAATAAGCAATTCACAGCTTTCTGAATGTCTTAAATATCTTATCTTGAGTATCATTCTATTGGGTTTACCTGGATGGCAGCTGATTCCTAATTACTTGTTTTAAGTCTTGTACTCAAGACTTGAAGTGTCACAGTAAGACCAGAAACACATTAACCCTAAAAGGCGTCACAATTTCTTGACATGCAGATATCACCACAACTAAAAAACAGGTTTCAGAGGAACAGCCGTGTTAGTCTGTATTCGCAAAAAGAAAAGGAGTACTTGTGGCACCTTAGAGACTAACCAATTTATTTGAGCATGAGCTGTAGCTCACGAAAGCTCATGCTCAAATAAATTGGTTAGTCTCTAAGGTGCCACAAGTAATCCTTTTCTTTTTAACTAAAAAACAGTTGCCTACCTTTCCATAACAGTTGTTCTTTAAGATGTGCTACACATGTCCATTCTACTATGGTTGCATGTGCAGCCTGTACACAATCGTCAGAGATTTTTCCCTTAGCGGTGCCTGCTGGGGCAGTGTGAGCTCCCTCTGGTGACTCACACCACTGCACACAGCTATAAAAGGCTATGCTGCCCTCTGACCCTTCTCCATTCTGTCCTACCAGCAAGACTCCAATAGAGAGGGGAAGGAGGGTGGGTCGTGGAATGGACATGTGCAACACATCTCAAAGAACAACAGTTACAGAAAGGTAGGTAACTGTTTTTTGCCTGAAGGTTGGAATGAAGAAGGTGACCGTGATCCTGCGATATCACATGGAAGAGCAGAAGTCTGACTGATAGAGCTAGTAAAGTCAAAATCCAATGCTGACATATCCATATTAGAGCTATTAGAATAAAGTGCATGGAATCTTGCTTGACTTTGGATAAGATTTTGGACAGGAGCGGAACTGGAGGGAAGGCATACAGTAGGCCTCTCAACCAGGGCAGAAGGAAAGCATCTGTCAGTGAACCCGGGCTGTGACCTGCTCAGGAACAACAAATATTTTTTGCTTTCTCTTGTTGGAAACAGGTCCACTTGAGGAGTTCCGCACTGCTGGAAAATGGAGCTAGAAAAGTCTGGTCCAAGGGACAACTCACAATGGCCTGTGAAAGACCTGCTCGCAGAGAGTGTTCTGAGCTCCCGGATTGTAAGCCGCTCTCAGGTTGATGGAACCTGTGAAGCATATATTCCACAGGAGGATTGCCTCCTGGCATAACTTTGTGGATTGGACCTCTACATGCAAACATTCACCAGTCCATGGAGGATAAGACCCAAATGGGTACTTGAACCACTATGTCTATATGATGACGGGCCAGTAAGTACACCAAGGCTATCCAACCCTGTAGATGTCTCAGGTGTAGTTTGGCATGTAGGTGCATGCTGCCAAGCATCCTAGAAGTTTGAGGCAGTTTCAAACTCTGATGCCAGGATAAGCCTTTAGATCTAGAGCAATAAGTCACTTTGTTTGGAACCTCTGCTGTGTCAAGTCAAGTCCAAAACTACTCCAATGAATTCTATTCACTGAATAGGAGATATACAGTGAAATCTGTCCTTGATCAGTAGCCCCAGTGTGTCAAAAGTGGACTGAATAGTTGCTACGCTGGAGAGTACCAGAGACCTGGGCTGGCCAGTCATCCAGCAAGGAAATACATGCAGTCCAGACTTGCTCAGGAATGCCACTACTACAGCCATGCATTTGGTGAATATGCTACAAGCTGCTGATAGTCTGAAAGGGAGCACTGCAAATTGGTAGTGGAATCCATTGACCATGAACCTGAGGAATTTTGGTGGCTCTGGTGAATTGCCATGTGAAAATAAACATCTTTTTAAGTCGAGAGCAGCATACCAATCCCCTGGGATCTAAGGAAGGGATACTAGATGCTACAGTGGCCATTCAGAATAAATAGGCCTGAGGACACCCTTCCCTTTTGCCTTTGAGATCAGGAAGTAACAGGTCTAAAATCTCTTCCCTCTGAACAACATGGGAACTTCCTGTATTTCCCCCAGGAAAAGCAGAGACTGGACTTCCTGATGTAGCATCCTCTTGTGAGAGTGGTCCCTGAAGAGGGATGGGGAAGGGAGGTTGGAAGGGAGGTAGAAATCAATTGAAGGCCGTATCACAGCTTCCTTTTCCTTAGGACCCACTAATACATGATGATGTGCATCCAAATGCTTAATAAGTGGGATGAGCATTTGGCAAAAATAGCACTCAGGAAAGATGGCACTATGGGGAGTGTATACTGTCCTTAACCAACAGGTCAAAATCATTGCTTAGATAATCCAGATCGCCTAGAAGAGCTGGTAGCTGCCGAGGGAGGTGGAGGAGGAAGATGTATCTTGTAACTCCTTCCCTTTTTTTTTAGACTGGTCCTGGGAATGTGGCAAAAATAGCTGAAACCATTGGGAATGCTGTGGGTGGAATGGATTTATATTTTGTGGCCAGTGTATAGATCCTCAGTGACTTAAGGGTCGCCCTTGAATCCTTAAGTCTATGTAGCCTCTGATCAGTTTTACTGGACAACATGTGAGGTCTTGAATTGTTTGTTGCACCTCTGGAGAGAGGCCTGATGCCTGCAGGCAAGATAAATGCCTTATCATGATGGCAGAGGCCATAACTTGAGCTGTGGAAACTGCACCATCCAGGCTCACTGGCAATGCCATTCTGGCGATTAATTTGCCTTACTTCGTCAAAGAAGAGAACTCTTGAAGTTCAATGACAAGCTTCCTGATGAGGCAAAGTAGGATATTATCCTATAGGCTGAAATTGTATCAACCCAGCAGAGCTTGCTGGTTTGCGATCCTGAGCTGTAAACTCCCAGTGGAATAAAATTTCCTGCTAAAGGGATCTAGATTGTTTTGCTTCCTTTCTCTTCAGAGTAGAGGCCTGGTGTCCTTGCCTCTCCTTTTTTGTTGGTGGCTGCAACCACCAGGGAGCCTGGAGAAGGGTGGTTGTAAAAGTGTTCAAAACCCCATAATACCTTTTCTCCACCCTTATGGAGAGGGAGGCAGAGAAGAAGGGGTAAGTCATAAAATCTTGACGGGCTCCAGGACAGCTTAATTAATAGGGAGAGCTATCGTAGAGGGACCTGCAGAAGCTAAAATACCCACAAGCCTGTGACACCTTTCTTTTATCTCTTCTGCCTGGATATCTAGAGCTACAGTCACCCTCCTCAACAAGGAGCTCTAAAATCATCAGGAGGGGAAGAGGTAGAGTCAGTCACTACTGCCTCATCAGGCAACATAGAAGAGGCTAAGGTTGTTGAGGAGGTACCTCCTCCAATCCCTTTACTGGGGAGTCCCAAGCATGCAGCTCTACTTTCATGGTACCAATACTGGTACCAGGGGAAGGAAGATGGTGACCTTGCAGATGCTCCAGGCTGACATAGAAGGGTGGGGAGGCAGCAGAGAAGTTCTGGAATGTGGAGGGAAGCCCCAAGAGGTCTGGAAGGGTTACTGGTATGGAGGTTGAACCCAGCTCTGTGCAGACCACTGACTATTAGGATGATGAGACTGTGGACAGTATCACAGCAGGCAGGCCCCCCACTGGGGCTGCTGGGCATACTCAGATCAGAACACAGTCCGAGTCTGAGGAGCAGTCTATCTCCTCTGAGCATTGGGGAGCTGAACCAATTCGTACCGAGGAGAGAGGTTCCAAGTCTTGGGAAGAGGGTATCAGCCAAATCATTGCTGGCTTGCCCGTAGATGCAATCCTACATAAAGGTGCCACAAGAGTAGAAGTGGCTGGTACTGAGCAGTGCTCTGAGGCTGGGCCGGAGCATGTGGTTCTGCTATCAGTACCGTGCAAGGCTCTTGAATCACAGGAGAAGTTGGTACTGACAAATTAAGCAACTCTCAGGTTGCCTCGAAAGCCTGAGGTGTCAACAGCACTGGAAAGGGCTCCTAGGCTTGAGGTACCACTAGGGGTACCAACCCTTTGGGAAATGGTCTCAGCTGACCCTTCCTGACTTTTTTGAGCACACCTCTGAGTTCTTGTGAGCACTCAGTGCTTCTCCTTGCCGGGTGGTGGTATCAAATCTTTATTAGACTCATGCAGTCTCTTCTTAGGCTCCTCTGGCACAGATCTGCCTGAGGACTCTGTCAGAACAGGAGGAGCACTCAAGGAGACTTGGACATGCTTGGAACCCATTTGGAATGGGGGCAGGTTCTGAGGATGGATGGAGTGCAGACTCCATGAGCAGATACTCGCGTCTGGCAGCCCTTCCCTTTTTCCAGCTGGGACCCTCTACAAGTGTGACATTTGTCACTTACATGCGCCTCTCCCACAGACTTAAGGTAGGTGGGGTATGGGTCACTCACTGGCATAGACCTGTTACATGAACAACAGGCCTTAAAGCCAGGAGAGGATGGCATCAGTCTGGTACCAATCCCAGTACCCAATCAGGCATCAGCAACTGTACACTAAAAAGACTGTATTCCAAACTTATCCCTAAAACTAACTATTTACAGATATGCTATACAAGACTACAAACTAATGTTACAGGTACTATTTACACTAAGGGAGGGAAGCTATTCCTCCCCTTTATTCGGCATTGGTGAGGCCTCATCTGGGGTAGTGTGTCCAATTTTGGGCCCCACACTACAAGAAGGATGTGGAAAAACTGGAAAGAGTCCAGTGTAGGGCAACAAAAATGATTAGGGGGCTGGAACACATGACTTATAAGGAGAGGCTGAGGGAACTGGGATTATTTAGCCTGAAGAAGAGAAGAATGAGGGGGGATTTGATAGCTGTTTTCAACTACCTGAAAGGAGGTTCCAAAGAGGATGGATCTAGACTGTTCTCAGTGGTACCAGATGACAGAACAAGGAGTAATGGTCTCAAGTTGCAGTGGGGGAGGTTTAGGTTGGATATTAGGAAAACCTTTTTCACTAGGAGGGTGGTGAAGCACTGGAATGGGTTACCTAGGGAGGTGGTGGAATCTTCTTCCTTAGAGGTTTTTAAGGTCAGGCTGGGGTGATTTAGTTGGGGATTGGTCCTGCTTTGAGCAGGGGGTTGGACTAGATGACCTCGTGAGGTCCCTTCCAACCCTGATATTCTATGATTCTATGATTCTACATGCCGAATCAAAGGTGGCAGCTCCAACAACAACCATTACTTGTGGTAGGAGGGAACTGAGGAAGGATGGGGGCAACACAGTCCTTTATACTTGTGTGCAGTGGCATGAGGCACCAGAGGGCGCTCACGCTGCCCTGATAGGTTCTGCTAGGGGAAAATTCTCCAACTGTGCATAAGATGTGCACGCACCCAAAGTGGAACAGACGTGTGCAGTCACTCGAAGAAAAAGAACAGCATAACAACATTGCAATGATGATAGAGGATAATGGGTTTTAATTTCTCATATCATCAATGGTGAATTAGTATGGCTGAAAATAGTTTGACACTCATACCTTGCAAATGCAGGATCCTATGCAAGGGTCATCATTCAAGCTGCCTTTCACAGAGCAGCTACAGGCCATACAGTCAGGATAACCCTTGTAACCCAACGCACATCGACTGCAGCTTTCACCTGCATAGCCAGTCTTGCAGTGGCAGAATCCAGGGAGCATGCCTATGGAAAGTCAAAGAAAACACTAAACCCACATATGTATTGATTTATCTTTATTATGAGTTATTTGTACTATGATTGCAAGGATTGGGGCCACACCTGTGTTCAGGCATTGTACAGGTATAAATTGTGTGCACAGAGCATGCCCTGAAAAGCTGACAATCCTAGGGCCAGTGTGCCGCTCTTACTCCTATTGAATAGCACCTTAACCCAACAAGACATCCCCCAGAAATCAGTGGGTCTGCTCCATGAGTACTACTAAATGTGAGGGGTGGGGGCAGCATCTAGGTCTCATTTATCCCACACTGTCTGAGCAGGCTTTACATTTAAAATAAACAGCTGTCATTAAGATTTAGCATTACATATACAAATACGTGGGCAAAAAAAAAATGGCAGCATAACGGAGTCTCTGATTCAGGAAGCATCCAACCCCTGGAGCTGTTACAGGTTGTTTAAAAGCAAAATTACTAGGAGATTATTTATTTCACCCCACAGTAGAGTGCCTTGGATGAAGAGGTGGGTTGATTCAGTCAAGGATCGCTGTCTAACTTTTAGAGCAGTGGACTGGGAGTCAGGTCTCAGAGGTCCCAGCTCTGCCACTGATTTGGATGATTACGGACTGAACCATTTAAACTTCTGTGCTTCAGTTTATCCACTGGTAACATAGATTACCGATGGCCTAAAGAGGTCACTGTTTAATCTGGCAAATCTTTGCATGGATTATGGCCTTTCAAATCCAAAACCAAGGGTTGTTAGGGTCAGAGCTCTATTTTATCCATACCAAAGGTTGTAGCTAGGGTATGGTTTCATAAAAGATTCTGGTTCTGGCCCTTATCTATATTGAACATAAACCTATCACACAGGACTATTATGAAAATCAGTGTTTAATAAGCACTTTGAGAGTGAAATATTAAAATGTGCTATTTATGCCAGAAGCATCATTATTTACCTTTAGAATTATCAGTGGAACATACTAGGACAGTAGGAAAAATACTGCTATTGAAACGTACGGTATGATGGTCATAATGGGAACTATACAATAAAAAATAAATGTTTTTACTGAAACAATTCCAGATCACTTGGGAATATAATTCTCCAACCTGTTTTCTGATCTATCCAAACCTCATTATGCAATTTTCTATAGTATCTTCTTGTAGCAATGGCCAATTGTTCATTGTACCAAATATATAAAGTACTCCTACACTGGGCCAGAGAGAGACATTTTAATTATTATTCATACTCAATAATCCTCAGCCTTGACATACCCAGAGTGCACATCCTGCAACCTCCATCTCAGTGAGAAGCACTCATTACTACCTATACCCCCAGTCATCATCATCTTCCCATTTAAATTTAAGAATTATAACCTGTTTATTGCTTGGTGTGCCACATGCTTCAGAAGCAGATTTCCATTTTACATCATGCAAACAATTTCTCCTTAAACAACCAGCCAGCTCCTCTGGAATGTGTTTCAATATATCTAATGTGTATTCATTCTGATTTGCAAGTATATAGAGAAATTTCATTGGAATGGATCATGTTTCTCAGCCTTTCATTCAGACAAGAAACAGACTCTTTTCAGTTTACAAATACTCAGGTAAATTGGCTTTTTTCAGTTGCTGTCTTGGATGAGAGGTTTTTTGCTATCTTCACTGAAATAGAGATTCTGTCAAGGTAGCATATTATGGGCTCAATACATAGTACTTCCTTCACAACTGGCTGGGTACAATATCTTTTTTTTAGTACATAGGGTTTCATTGAGCTAGTGAACACATATTCAAGACAGAAATGAACAGGGATCTGTAAGGGAAAAGTTTGGATCTGTGCCTAGCTGTTACAGTGATGCTTGCAGTATAAGAGCTGTTGTGACAACTGGTCTATAACTTTTGCCTGCTTAGGAATTTACCATGGAAAGTAGGTCATGTTATTTTCAGTAAAACATGTTATTAACAGGTGCAAGAGAATCAGACAGAGAAACTAAATTAGTCAAAATGTAATAGGCCAAGTTGATATGATTCAAGGACTGTGTTAAAGTTATACTTGTTAAAAATAGGAGACGTGGAATCAGAGGTTAATGAGCCAAAATTGGCATATCTGATATTAGGCCTAATTGGAGGTCAAAATAATGATGGGATGGGCTATTCCACTCGTAACTCCCTTTTGGGGTCCTTAAAAGAAAGAGATTTTTGTAGGGAAAGTACAAAAGAACAAAACGGAAGACAGAAAGAACAGACAGACTCTACTGGAATGAGCTTCGCCAGCATGGCTGCCACCTCCACCTTTTCCTGGGAACCCAGCCCTTCATCATCCTAATCCTGATCAGAACAGGCCAGAAAGAGAGGGACCCAGGTGACATTGCACCCCTACCAGCTCCAGCTGAATCCCAAACTCCACATGGGATTACTGCTATTATCATCCTTGATCCCATCTAAGAGACTATCAAACAAGACTTCTAAGACTTTAACAACAACAGCACCACCAGCAGTTCTAGGCCCAAAGAGTTTACAATCTAAGACAACAGGCAATGAGTAACAAATAACTGGAGGTAATAGGGGAGTAACGATAAAGGTACTGTGAGCGGAAATGTGATTATGTAGCCTAGTTGTATGCACAGATCGTTTTGAGTTTGCTAATTTTAAATATATATAAGATAAACTATCAGAACTCCCTTACTGGCCCTCTAGCCAGCCATCACAAATTGTCCTTTCCCATAAGCATCATAGTAGAAAAAGATCTTGTGGAGGGACTTCAAGGAGGAAGGAAGAGTGGCTTTACAGCCTTTTTCAGTGAGGGTGTTCTGTCCTTCTGCACAGCCTGCTTCAGGGAGGGTATTCCATGAATGAAGGCTGGCATGGAAAAAAGACGGGAGGAGTTATTGGAAATGTGGACAAATGGACAACAGAGGCTGGTATCATTGGCAGAATAAAGAGTTGGAAGGCAATATGACAAGATACAAGAACAAGTAAGTAAGGAGGGACAGAGGTGTTAGAGACCTTAAAGGTGAGCGGGGTGGGGGGGTGAGCCTGTATCTGATATGGTAGAGAAGACAGAGCCAGCACAGAAACTAAAGCGTGTTCTAACATAGATGGAGCTGAAAAGGGTTGCCAGGAAGGAGGAGCTTCCGTCAACCTAGGAGATGATGAGGGTCTAGACAAAAGGTTTAATGGTGTGAAGAGAGGGGAAAAAATGTCAAGACATCCAGGTAGACATGTTAAAGAGAGAAATTGAAATATGGAATTGGATGGATTGAGACACTAGAGAACAACTGTGGAGAAAGATGAGGAGTGGATCAACGATGAAGTTCTGAAGGACACCACCAGAAAGAGGAAAAGGGGAGCAGCAGAACCTATCAGAAGAAAGACTGGTGCAATGACTACAGAGGCAGGAGGAGAACCGGGGGAAGACAAGAATCACAAAAGCAAGGGAGGATAAAGTTTCAAGAAGGACATATGGATGCAGTTATTTTGAAGCAGCAGTTATTTTGAAAATCCTGCTCCGCACAGTACAAAACTCTGTAGAATGCCCCCTACTGTGGTTAGTTCAGTAGGTATGAGAAATAAACTGCACTGTAGCTGACAGCTACCTGGAGACACGCATGCATGTGTGGCACCACATTTCTTTAATTAAGGCCTTCTTCTCTCAAAATGATAGCCTCATTATTTTACTAAAGAGACTGAACATCAGCAGTAGCAGATGTTTGAATAAAAGGGGTCCCTTTTAATAGCATTCGGTTTTTTAAGTCCTTCATCTATAACCTGTATAATCTATAACCTGTGCACTCTCATCAACAGGTTTGCTAAAAGACATCACATTGTCTTGCTGTGTCTTTTCTAACCCTGGGAGTCATGTTCTCTTCAGTTTCTACACAATTTCCTCTTAATCTGTGTGATATACTGTTCCTTTCACTTCTGTATTAATCAGGCTCTATCATTCTATCTAGAATCTTTAATCATGTTATTTAACTGATGTAATCAGTACATGGCTGATGTAGTAGATTTTGTACCTCTGGGCTCTGTATTTATAGCTCTGTTGTGCTTTTTTTATGTTCCATTGAATTACTTGGGGAAAAAAAGATCACTGGAGTATCTCTTATCAATAGTGTACAATTAGTCCAATTAAACAAATCTCTTAAAACCTGACTTTGAAGTTTTGCTGCACCCCAACCAAATGTCAACAACAAAAAAACATTGTTTCCAAGCTACAAGAAAGCAGCATGTTCTCTATTTGAAGGTGGCTCTTACAGAGAAACCAAGGTGAAAAATTTATAATCCTACAGTAATAGAGATGGTAGGTAAATGTGACATCTTTCAAAGGGACTTTTCCTAGTTTTCAAATGCAAATAGGCACTCAGAAGAAAAGATTAAGGTTCTGCTTTATTTTAATCTCTGTCTCTGAAAGAGAAAGCTCTCTGCTCTTGGCAAGAGGACTAGAAAATCCTTTACAAGGATGCAACTGCATGCTGTGTGCTTCATGCATGCATCTTGCTTCCCAGCACAGAATTAGGAGACATGCTATAGGCTGAGTTTGGGGAGAGGTCTAGTGTGTCTGTGTATTGGAATGTCAGTATCTACTATATTTCAGAGAAGCCTGGAATAATGGGGAAAGCCAACATAAAAAAGTTCAGTTGGGAATATTCTTCCCAATGTGCACATGCCTGCGGGCTGCAAAACTGAAAGATAGTATGAAAGAATGCTGTGAGAGCACAGGCGGATTAGTGACCATGTGAATGAATTAGCACTGGTCTGCTGTGAGGGCTGGCTCAGTGAAGGGAGATAATTCAGCTTTCATTTTAACAATGTTGGTCACAATGTTTAGCACTGTAACTGTAATGTAACTGTCAGGGATCTTACCTCCTTCCGCATGTTTCTCATCCTTGACACAAGTAGCATGTAAAGACCCAACTGGATCACAGAAACATGGCCGGCATGGGTTAGGGTCATCTGGTAATACCTACCAGAAACAAATACAAGTACAAAAAAAAAAAAAACCAGTGAGTTTCAAAGCTAAATCTTACCTTTTAAAAATTAGAAACTGGTACATAAATTTTAAAAAACAACCAAAAAAAAAATTAGGATCGAATCATGCTGTGTTTAGGGTTTGTTTCAAAAACTGAAACAGCATTGTTCACTCAGTCTATTAGTTTGTTATTCAGTCTGCATGTTAATCTTAGCAAATTTTTACCAAAGAGACGCTCAAGTAATTGAGGCCCCAAATTTAGTTTATTAAAGGAAAACAGTTGTATATAAACTAATGTTAACAGAAATGTTTTTATAATTTTTTTAATTACAGGGAGTGAAAGCATGCTTTAGTTTTTAAACCTCTTTGGGTTTCTAGTAGCTAAATTCTGCAGCACTGTGATAATGAATGAGAAGCATGGATTGAAACTTATTGTAAGTGGAGTAGTTCAGTTACATGGTCCAAGACGAGTGAAAAACAATAAACTGCAGGATAAATGAAGAAAAGTGAACACTAGACAACTGAACAATTTGCTTTCACCTTCCCTTTTCCCATCTTAGAAAAGGAATCACAGACAAGACCCACATTTTATTATAACAGTATGCAGAGAAATCTAGGTGTACATATTCCATTAGCATTCTCTTTTTCCTGTGGGCAGCAGAGGATTTATATGGAAGGGGATGGAACTTATATTGATTATGACTGGCAAGTGCAATCATATTTCCCTCTGTGAGTACCCCATCATTTTGGGACCCCATGTAGCTGTTCGTTTCAAGTGTCCTTAAGGTCAGTTGACCTCTACTTGGTGTTGCTTGATGAATTGGGCACAAGCAGTAAAGAGCTATCATGTTGGTTGTAAAAGCTTATTAACACTTCCATTCTGTGGCTGATCCCCAACAACTCAGGGGACAAGACCCAACACAGATTGAACCCTGTGTATCCTCACCCTTATTCCAAGATTCAGCATTTTGACCATTGATAAACCAACATCTCTGAACACGAAAAGCTACCAAAACCACACTGAACCTTGAGAATATTTTCATAGTCTTTTTCCATTATTAGGAAGAAAGAACATTCTCACAGTAAGACAAAGAAGTTAGAGTGGTATTTTCAAAAGTTCCTAAGTGACTTAAGAGCACAATTATTATTGACAATCTATGGAACTTGTGCTCCTATATGTCTTTCATGCACTTCTGAAAATACCACCATATGACTTGGGAGGTGAGAGTTCTATTCAAAGGCTGGTCATACTCTTTCTTTGTGACCTTGGACAAGTCACTTAGCCCTACATTTTCAAAAGTCTGGCCTTCCTACTCTATTTTCAGAAGCTTGTCCACATTTTCTATACTCACAATTGACTGTGGACACAAAAATTACTAGTTGGAGAACTGCTTAAATTTTGCTCCAAAATCAGTTTAACCATCCAGCTGCTGACAAAAGACCAAAACTCTTTCTTCTACATGCTTTGAAGACAAAATGCAACCTTGCTACATAGGGGGAATTTTTAATTTTTTTCATTTGTTGTTAGCCTCCATGGTAGTAGAGAGAAGATCAATCAGGTCCCGTGGCCAGACTTTGCTGAACTGAGGGCCACAATGATAATGTACCAGGAACCTCCAGGAATCCAAGAGGCACATCTAAACAGAATAGAGAGCAGCTCTCTGGATCTTTAATACAGAGTGAAGACAGCTCATGGAGATAACAGATCCCAGTATGCCATGCTTCTTCTCATGGCCTCAATTCAGACTGAGATGGAGCATCATCTTCTAGAATTTATGGTAGCATTTCCACAGACCATATCTCTCTCTACTGAAGTGGAAGGAATCCCCAGGATATATTGTAGAATTTTGTTGACTATGTCTGGTTTGCAACTGCATTTTGGCCATGCCTGATAAAGGTCAGGTGATGCTAACAGATTAAATATAATATAGCAGTACTTCTAAATCAAAGAGCTTAAACCAATTAGAGATTCTCCTTTCTCCCAATTTCCTCACCACCCCCAACAACTACAGCAATATCTCTCTGCTTTCTGAGAGTGTATGTTGAAATTCTCTATGATGCAAAAGCTGTGTTTGCAGGATTGCATCCTCCTTTAATTCAAACTGAAGTACTAGCTGGAGGCCCTGACCTTAAGTACATTTCTTCATATCAACACAATTTGCTTTCATATTCCTGTGAACATCTACTTTACAGATTTCCAACTGTGAAAGGCGACTAGTTGGCTGTCAGAATTAGAACTTAACCTTCATAAAATGGCAATCAAAAGTGTGTCTTCTCTACTTAATAAGCTAACTCCCCACACAGAAGTGATAGCTTGAACTACTTAGAAGCGACAGCAGAGCATACTTTACCCCTTTTGGCCTGAAGTAGCCATCAGTGCAGGTCTCACAGTTTATGCCTGCAGTATTGTGTGTACAATTAATACACACTCCACCCCCAGTGTATTCTCCATGGATATTCAAACTCCGATTTCTGTCTGCAATATTCTGATCATAGTAACATTCCTTAGTCTTCCCATGACAATTGCATTCTGAAAAAGAAATAACTGTAATAGCAAACCTCACACCCAGGCTACAGACATGCAGAAATAACATTTTTACTGAAGTATTAACAACATCCTTTCATCATTTTGACATCTGTACCATGAACATGCTACAAGATACAAGGACTACAAAGAATCTATTGAGATGTTAAAACTGTTAGCAACATTAACATTCACCAAAGCTAAAAAGGAAACTTAATGGAAGTACTTCATCTACATATAATGCGTGTTGGAGATGGTCACAACAAAGACTTTGAATCCACACTTCTTCAAATTTCAGGACAGTTCAAATTTGAATCTTCAGATCCAAAATTGCCCCCCCTTTGGCTTTTGTCCCAGGCTGGACCCAAAATTACAAGAGGACAATATTCTGGTTCGTTTCATGAGATTTTCACTATTAAAATGTTTAAAAGAGTCTGCAAGATTTCAGTACTATTGAATCAACCCTTTTTTCATGATTTGGCCTCAGACCCCAAACCCTAGGCTCAGCTTAACCGGGATCTAAACTCCACCTCCCTGGCCAACCTCTAATATTTTCATGTGCGTTATAAACGAGTTTGGTGCCTGGTTTGTACAAATGTAGAATTTTGGTAATTATCAGTTCCAAAATTTAATAAAGAGGAATCCCTGATCCAAAGCCCACTGAACTCAGAGGGAGTCTTTCCATTGACTTCAGCATGCTTTGGATCAGACTCTGTGGGCTCGTCTGCACTGTTTAGGTACAGCCCTGCACCTAAAGGGCTTCAAAGAGCATTAGAATAAATGCATCTGCACTCCTGTAGCCATATGAACACTCATGTACAGTAGTATTGCATTTTAATAGGTTCAGAAATTAAGGTGCTTTGTGAACATCAGTGTTAACTATTATTATTAGAGATAGGAGAAATTCCAGCTTTTTGAACTTTGTTTTCATTCCAAATCAGAACGAAAAGTTGAATATCAATATTTTCCAGAAAACGTAAATTTAGAAAAAATGATTTGGAAATATGAAATTTCATTTAGATAATGTTGAAACATTTCATATAAATATATAAATATCTTAGTCAAAATGAATTGAAATTAACCATTTTTACCTTATCGAAACAAAATGAGAAAGTCAAAACAAATTGTTTTGATATTCTCCTATTGAAAATTTCACCAAAATTGACATTCTCACAAAACATTTTAATTTTGACAAAACTCTATTTTTCGGTGGAAATTTGTTTAACCAAAACTTTTTCAACCACGTCTATTAATTATATGGTTAAATATAGCATAGTGGATCTAAACAACATGTGGTTTACATTTACAATCACTTGCAAGTGTTATTTTGAAGTTAAATGAATTCTCCAGAGGCTTAAGGACTAAATACTACTCAGAGTGACCAGGAGTTAAGCTAACACTTTTTTATTTTGCTTTGCTTTTTTATAATTTACCTTCACACTCAGACTTGACCAGGAATGTCCCAGCTTGCCAAGGCTTTTGATGAAAACCGGGACAGCAATGATCACAACTGTCTCCACATGTGTTGTGCTCACATTCACAAGTAGATCTCTAATTTACATTAAAAAAAAAAAAAGAAAACAAAGTACTAACACAGCATGATGTTATAACAAAGCAAAGACAAGAGCTTTGAGACAGGTGGAGGTTAGGAATACATGCAAACCAGCCCACCTATGACTGACAACCTCTCTTATATTATCCGGTTTTCTTCAATGGTCCTTTACAATCTATTCATCATATTTTTATAATGATCTTAAATATTTCAGACCTGTGCCTTTCCAGCAATACATTTATGCAAATTACTGCAAGCAAAGTGATCTACAACGGATTACAGGTATATTTCATTTTTTTTTAATGTATTATAGTTTTAACACAATTCAGACAACGAATATTTGCACAGTGGCAGAACAGGGTACTTCACCCCACTGCAATTGACATTAAAAAAAAGAAAACAAAGTATTGCATAGGCAGAACATCGAAACAGAATTTTCTGGAGAACGCTTTCTAATTCTGCAATGTTACCATCACTCTTCCAAGGCAAGCCTAATGGAAAGGCAGAGCTCTAGGGTTATGATTGTAGTCTGACAGTTGTTCTTTGAGAATAACTGCAGAAATGGTTCAGCATTTGTTATGCAGATCTTATGAAAAAGGCCTATAAGAATAAAACCAACAGGATTCTATAGAAATTACTCAGAACTATAGATATTTTTACAGAATGAGATTTTTCGAGAGGGCTTTTGAAATATCCTATTTCACTGTATAGCAGGGATATGATTTTCTATTAAATTCTATAGGATGGTTCAGAATCCTATAGAAAGATTATCATTTTCTATAAAATTCTACAGGACTTCTCCATAAGGGAAAGCTGGGTGTGATCTCACACTGTTGAATGCTAGTAGCATTACAGATAAATTCAGCAATTTCATTTTAGTGTTAATGTGTGCATACATGTATATGGAATTGAGAAGAAGCTGGAGAATCCGCCTTAAACTGAATTCCTTGTTTGATTATGTTCTGATAGAGCTGAACTTGAGTGGAAAGCTAAAAATATAGAAAAAGAAATTATAACCATTAAATTGGTGATGTTTGTTTGTTTGTTTGTTTGTTTGTTTGTTTGAGAAGAATCATGATGAATACCATGGAAGGAATAGAAAGACTGAGGGCATTCAGTTTCCAAAGCTAAATCATGTAACTTCCTGTCAGTGCTGGAGAGTTTCCAAAATGAATGGATTTATTCAAAGTCTTTTTTTTTAATGAGAAAATCTTTCACTGTTACTGTGATGGTGGATTTCAAAGTCCACCATTCTGACTGCCAATGTTATTTCACCCTGACACAGGTTTTGGTTATATTGTCTAAGTGAGGAACAGACATCAATTCACAGAACTCTGTCAATGGGGAATATTTGTTCTCTACACCATGAATAAAGAGCCTAGAAATATACGTACGTTAGTTGCTGGATCCAAAGGACAAGCCCTTGCATGGCCAGAACAGATACACATGCCTCCAACAGATATATCTTTTACAGAATAATAATACTGTAAGACAAAACAGAGAAGGAATTGCCAAATGGATTGCAAGCTGCAGGTGGCCAAGTACTGAAACTGCTTATTTTATTTCCTTTTTATTTATTACAAAAACAGCAGATGGTATGGTAGGTAACTGCTTCCTGAACATCAGATTCAGGCCTCAGTGAAAAAGAAAAGGGATCAAATTCTCTGCTGGTGTAAACTGTCATTGCTCCATTGAAGTCAGAGGAGCTGCACCAATTTATACAGTCTAGAATGTGGCTCACAGTTCACATACAGCACACAGATATAGAAAACATAAAGGCTAAATATTCAGAACACAAAAGAGCAGGTCATATATGTCGATTTTACCCCTGTGACGGAAGAAAGCTCAGAACCCATGGTGAAAGTACACTAACAGTAATGGTACAAAATCACTCAGCAAATACATACTATGTGTTAAAGGAAGAACTGTTTTTTATTTTTTTTTTAAACAAATGCTATGTAACAAAGGCCTTTAGTCATTTCAATAAGGTAATGCTTTCGCATGCCCCGGACAGTGAGAAGCACAGTTAAAATCTCCTGCTGGTCTGCAGATTTACCTGATAGGAAATGGGGGTGGAGAGAAGGGAGAGTTCCCTATCCTGATTAATGTACTTATGGTCTGTCAGTCCACCCACTGACCATTCCCTTCCGATTTTGGTGGGGATAAATGGCCCAGACAAAAGCAAGGAGTGCATCCATGGTGGTGAAAGAATACCTGCAATATCCTTCAAATAAACAGGCTTCAGTAGGCCTGAAACTGCTTATATATGGGGGAGATTTATGGCTGGTCTTACAGATCCCACACTAGATCCCCCAGATGCACGTAACCATGCAAAACTTAATTAGCAGTAGCACTGCTGCAGGAGATTCACGAGAAGACTGAAGACAAGGTCTGGCTTGGCAGGGACCTCTCCCCCAGCCTAATTAGATTGAAAATATCCCCTAACTAAGCTGAACACTCCCACTCTTCTTAGTCTTTCCTCAGATGGAAGTCTTCACATTCCTCTGATATTTGTCACTGCCTGTCTCTGCACACCTTATATTTCTGCCATATCCTTTTTGCGAGGAGGGAGCAGAACTGAACACTGTTCTCCAGATGAGGACATACCACTGCTTTACCTAAAGGCATTATAATAATTTCAGTATTACTTTCCATTCTAACATTTTTAAACCACTGGTGCATCATGAACAAAACTTTTTCACTGAGCTATTGCAATGTCTTTTTTTATGAGTAGTTACAATTAATTTTAAACCAGCAAAATATATGAGCAGTTCAAATTATTCCTTCTACTGTGAATTACCATGAATTTGTCAAAAGCCAATTTCAGTTGCCATCTTGTTGACTATTCACCTAGTCTGGTTAGGGTCCACTGAAGTGCCTCACATTTTTCTATAATCTTGGCTAGCCTGTGTAATTTTGGGTTACATTCAAATTTTCAAATTTTGCTAATTCATTACTCACCCCCTTTTCCAGGTCATTAATACATTAAACAATAGTAGATCTAGTATGTAACTGTAGGGACATATTTAAAATTGTCAAACTGTTGCCATATTGAAAATTGACCATTGTTGCCTAACCTTTGTTTTCTGCCATTTAGCCTAAAGGTTACTCTAAACATATGTCAGCTAATATGGCCCCAAAGGGTCTGTTGGGGCAGCAGGGAATGGGTGGGTGGGTGGGATAAAAGGGAATAACAGTTATGCCCTCTTTCCCCTGTCCACACCATCTGGATGCAGCTGCCATAGGTAGGAAATAGTACAGAAACCAAGGTGCTAGTTCTAGCTACCTGTGGATCCTCCTACTGGTGCTTGAGCAGCACAAGGCGGCCTTATCTAGATGATTCAGTTGTCAAGCCTGCCTCATTTAGATCAGCTGTGCATCCTGTCTTGAGATATGAGCAATTAGCTTCCAGACTATTACTGTCTACAGTTAGGAACTATTAAAATAAATAACACTCATAGCAATGGAAGAATCATTGTTCCACCTTAAAGACATATTGTCAGTAAGTGGAGAAGGGTAATCAGATTTTGACCTCAGGGATTTACAAGGTTTATTTTCCCCTCACAAAAATTATTCCAAGTCTCTTCCCCCGACCCCAAACTCTCAAGTTTACCTAGTTGCCAGCTGGTGTTCACACAGCTGGGAAGTTTCCTACAAGCACTAGTGTAACACCGGACAAAGTCCTGAAACTTTAGCTACCAGATGGAATATGTCTTTGAAATGACAACATATAGAGTAAAACACTAAACGATGCAGAGATGAGAATGAAAGCACTGCACGCCTCCTTTCCTTATACACTAAAACATGTTTTAAAACGGATATGAATAATAATAATGAAAGAAATATCTTGATTAAAATGTTAACGCCAGTATGATCCAAAGGATATTGAGGAGATGGCATGAGGGGCAAAAGACATTATCTGACAACAGTCTCCTGCAGATCATCTGTACAATAATCCCACAAATCTTTACAGCCAGAGTAGCACTGCTTCTGGTTCTTCACGTTAATAACACCATTAAACTGAAAATATAAACAAACTTTCCCTTCTGCTGAGGTGAAAAAAAAAAGACTGAAGAAAGGGGAGCTATTTATTTGCCACTGGGAGTTTGACAGCAAACAGAAGCTATTCATATTCTTCCAAGATTTCCTGTGGTGATCAAAGGCAGATACAATATTAGTAAGGATAGTTCAGCATCTATTATACAGTTCTATGCCTTTACCAGAACTTACCCTCCTTGTAACTATGTGGTCAATTTCATTGGGATCTTTGTGTGCAAACATCATTAAATCAGCATTCAGTGTCCGTATCCTCTGAAATCTCAGTCGAATAAAGCGAGCTGAGGTGAATTCCAGCAATACTTGGGAAGGATCATCAGCACTAGGTCGTCCATTGATCAGTGATGTGTGAATCTAAAGACAGAATTATTGAAATGATCAGATTAAATGAATATTGCTTGTGAAGATGCCAGCAAATGTCACAGTTATGGTGTCAAACCAGATAAGGAGGCAGGGGACCATGTGCTATTTCAAATATTTTCTTTTTTAGAAAGCAAATATCCCCCTGCCTCCAAAAAACTGATTTATTGTATATTGAACAGTTTCTAGAACAACTGGCTCCAACCAATATATAAATCATAAATAATAATATGTCCAAACCTAATGCAGATAAATTCTCCTGTTCTAGACTGACCTCCTATTAAGTCATTGGGCAAGAAATTTAAGAAAAGGGATTATGCGGGAAGTGTTCTTGGAAACGTTCTGCCAGAAGAAAACATCACATGTAATAAAATACCATTCTTGAGCACTTTGTGGAAAACCAAAACATTTTACTCTATGGTCTGGAGTGTTAACTTTTGATTGGTGTATCTTTATTAGATGATTTCTTGAGGTCCCTTCCAGAAACTACATTCTATTATTCTATTACTAGCTGATGAACAAAAAGAACATGACTCCATTTTCAGATCCCAGATTGAATACGCAGGGCTGGAGTGGAGAATGAAGGAGTTGTAGCAAAGTGACCATGATAGGGTTAACTAGGTTGCCCAGAGTGTTACAGGATAGAGCCTTGCTTCACTCATCCCTGACTTCCTTTTGAAAGTAAGAGTTTTCTCCCTCCCACACCAAAGTTCCCTCTAATTTTTGACAGGCCGTGTGCGCAAAAAATTTCTTCTGTGCAAACTGTTGTACTTCTGTGCAAATTTCTGTGCACATGGTGTTTCGCTGTGTGCCTGGGGTTTAGGATCTGTGTGTGCGCACACACACGCACAACTTAGAGGGAACAGTGTCCCACATACACTTTAAGGCAGTGGAATAAAGCAGCAAATTCCTGCCTACAGTCCTGTGAGTCAAGAGTTTTGTTTTGTTTTGTTGGACTGAGCACTTGCTTTACAAAAGGATTTATCTGTATTATTTTTATGACTATCATATTCACCTGAGTTCATTTGTTTGATATAATCCTGCCTGACTGAATGGAATTAAATCAAAGGATGCTGCCAAAGGGGATGTAAACAGGGAACAATAAAATGACCAAGATCAGTTACCACCAGAGAGCATATCAAGGGATCTTACAGAAACCATGGGGGACCTATTTGTTGGGAAATGACCATTTACCTGTCTCCAAGCATGCTGGCAGATTAATTTTTCTCAGTTCTGAACCTATGATCAATGGGGCACTAAACTAATAAAGAGCCTGAGCTTGAGAGAAAGGAGGTGTGAGCAAGCAGCAGCTGTTCAGTGGGAAACATGAATGAGAGAGAGAGAGAACTGCAGAGGAACATGCTTCCAGTCTGTCTTTTCCAGCTCAGCGACAAAGTTAACTGGGCTAGGTGGTAACTGCCGAAACTTGCAAGGGAAGGATAAAGTTTAGAGACCAGATACCTATAGATTTTTGTTGTTCAAACACTTCTCTGTGCCTGCTGTGTACTTTTGGGTGAATAAACAAAACATTTGGAAAGAGAGAGGCTGACACCCCGGTATCTAGTCGGAGAGTGGTAGAACTGTGGGATACCACCCAGAGAGCGGTGAAGGTAGCAGAACCTGTCACCTGAGTGATACCCTTGAGAGGGGCTGTATAAGATGCCACTCAGCCTGTAACTGTGACAGTATGCTGGGAATGGGGGGGGGGTTGTAGCCTTGTGGGAAGAGTGCAGAAAAAGTGCCTACAGGAGAGACTGGGGGAGATTACCGGTGCCCCTGAACATTACAGCTGGCAACTAGAAATGACACCTTTTTACTTACAAAAAGGCCAAGTTGAATCTGGAAGTCATTGTGACATGGACATGGAGCCCCCATAATGGTAGTTTTATAGAATGCTTTTTCAGAGTAAAACTACACTTTAAAAGGCTCCATGGGTCTATCTGCCAGGAACCCATCTCTTCTGTAAGCTAACACAGTAACAGTAATGATTTCCATTTATGCTGTATCTTTCATACAGAATGAACATTAAGAACTATATAATCCCATTTTAAATCTATATACGCATCACTTTACATACCCACTCAAATGTAGCCACCTCTTTGGTGAAATGTGGTGCCTGTTAAACATTGCACACCAACACTACACCTCGGTTTCGGAGAATAAATGAGGAGTATGTTATCAAATTGAATGTGTAGGGGGAATTTAGGTAGGCAAAATGTAATTACCCAAATAATTTCTCCTTCTTTTCAGCATCTGTGAAGAAATCATTAATTTCCCCCAAGAAACATTTTAGAATCTCCATTAATAGTGCAGACTAAGATGTTCCTACTTCTTAGAAGAGATCAGAGTACCTAGGAAACATTTGCCATTAAATCAGGAATATGAAGCTAGAATTATAACTATGACTCATTTAAATATGTTTTTTAAAAAGAAGTTTCAGCTTTTGACTAATAAAATATTGTTTCAATTTAACACTTTTATAATAAGATTTTAGTGTTTTTCAAGAGCATACATTCATTTTTTCAAACTCTTGCACTTCCTGAAAGCAGTATTAGCATGCCGGACGATACTCAAGGAAAGAGGAAGATGTGGTCCTTGCCCAGGGCGGTTGTTTTGCCACCAAGGTGGAAAATGTTTTCGGCACCTCCCAAGCCCAGTGTGGCGGGGGAGGGGAAAGGCCAGGCAGATCAGCAGAGCAAAAACAAACAAAAACTGCCTGGAGGATGAGGCCCACCCCTTCACCCCAATGTTGATTAGGCACCCAGAGCGACAGCCCCTGTTCCTGCCCCAGGAGCTTATGATTCAGCCCCAAGAACTGTCCCAAACAGTCTAGAGTTATCTGAGGTACTTATATGGCCTCCATTAACATAGTATCTGAGCACCTCGCAGTTTTTAATGTATGTCTCTAAGCCCTGTGAAGTAAGACAGTGCTAATATCCCCCTTTTACAGATGGGGAGCTGAGGCAGAGAGAGACTGAATGACTTGCTCAAGGACACACAGGTATTCTGTGGCAAAGCTGAGAATTGAACGTGAGTCTTTCAATCCCAGACAAGTGCCCAAACCACAGGGCCATCCTGACAAATAAAACCCCAGTCAGGAAACAATCTCATGCTTTTCACATCTTGCAGTTGCATTTATTAATAACCAATTCAACAGGTCCTTGATTTCATTGGAGCACTTTGCTGAATTAGGTACTATTCAATACAAGGGCATCAGAATCTGGCCTGATGTCTGCAGTGATAGCTGTATGTCCTCAAATAGTTCTAGCTACCAAATAAACTCTTTTCTAGATTCATTTTGGAGTCTAAGCTCTTTTACAACTACTGCACATCTGTCTGCTGAAACCTCAGTCACATTTATCTAAACAGGGATTTCCTTGTCCTTCCTTTTCTAATAGATCTTGTGCTTGGAATAGAGAAAAATTCCAGTGATGACCTTAAAGCTGTCTGTAAAGCACCTGTAGCTTCAAAGGGGACTTTTTCTCTCTGTTTTAATGAAATAGACACAACACTTTTGCTTCACATGGCAGTATGGTTTCAACTTAAAATCAACGCAAATTTCAACAAATAAGGTTGTTTCTTATTTTAAACCATGCAAATTTTCTCATTTAAATGAATAAACCATATGATAGCTTCTTGAGGAATTCAACAAAACAGTATTTCTTCTACTCACAGCTTTGGTATTTGAAGTGAGCTACTTTGCCAAGCAATCTACTGAGTGCAGTCAGTCCCAAGCTGTTTTGGGGATATAAAAAACCTCAGCTGTTTGGCTATGTTGCTCAAAACCTTCACGTTCACTTTCCTTTCAAATAAACTATATCACTGGCTGGGATGTTTTCACTGGTGCAATATCTATATGCTGATGGTTAAATAAACTAATCTAGGTCCTGATTTTACTGGAAGCTGTAATTCTTTTGTAAAAGATGAATGCATCTCAGTTGGACCTGTCTCAGAGATGCATTAGGAGAATACCAGCTCTTCAAAGTAACCTTTGTTTACCAACATAGCACCCCTTTGTTCCACTCCTCACCAGTTTACTTTGGATTTCATAGTAAAGCCATTGTCATATCAAGCCTGGTATACTACCTAAGGCAAGACAGTGGGTAGTACTTGAGATATTTCTGAGGAAGATGAATATCCCCCTTTATACATCTTACCAGTAGTGCAATGGAAGGGGAAATTCCTTTCTGGCCCCTGCAGGAAGCTTCTATTCTGAAGCATAACAATAAATTATTGAGGAGTGGGAGGCAGACATTTTATTCTTAAAATTATTAAAAGCAGGACATATTGTGAAATATTCCTGAAACATTATGCAAAAGCATTAAATATATGAAGATGGATAATAAGCAGTATAACAGTCAAATGAGTTTTATACAGTTATTTGGTAACTGTATAAGGTCCCGTTTGCTGGTTATCCAAATATTTTAGCTCAGCTACAACATACCTGGTTTAACCCACCATTTTGTCTAATTATTTCTACTGGTAGTTTTATTTGCTGCAACCTTCAATAATGGAATGATGGAATAAACCCATTGTAAACAATTCATTTTCAACTCATTTAAATTACTATTGGCAAATCAATCCCTTAGCAGCTAGTTCATGGAGCCTAAAGAAAAAACTCTGTGGGTGTTTCTTCACATGAGCTTTTAAATTAGGATCCTAAGCTCATAATTTCAGACATCATTAGAGTTGTTTTCAAAACAGAAAAAAAAATAGACTGGAAGCACACGTAACAGATGATTTCTAACCAGATGATTTCTCATAGCCTGTGTCATAATGTTCCTACATAAAATAGTTAGAATTCCTTTCTCTGTATAGTACATAGTGTATTAAACAGAGTTTGCAGCATTTCTAATAAATGTCTGACTCTCTTAGTAAATTAATAGTTTATTATACCAAAGACCAGTTCCTATTCTTTGTATTGTTAATGACTACAGAGCTGCTTGAAATGCAATGCTTTGAACTTGCAGGAAAATGTCAAGGGCTGTGCATGC